GATGTTCTGAGCATTTCATTTATAAATGCTGACATCTCTTTTTTATCCTGAGCTATCCTGTTTCTGATCTGATTTTGTCTGTTCCCTTATAGATTTGTTTCTTCACTTCAGCTGCTATCATTTCCAAAATCTCAGGTGTGTCTCCCATTTTCTTCTATGTTGATGACTCCTGGACTTGTTCTGGGTGAGCTGGAGGTGTGAGATTGCATTTTGCTTCTTCATTTTGTCATTTATTTCTGGGTTCCCTTGCTGGCAGACAGGCAATGGGAGTGGCCACTGCCTCGGGTGCCCCGTGTGGTCAGTTACCATGCATTGGTACTTAATTGGAGCCACAGGCACCAGCTTGAGATTTATGTGTTTCGGTGTCTGTATATCTCTGTAGTATTTCTCAATTCTGAACTCATCAGACTGTACAGGATTAACCATTCTATCTGCCTGCTCATTATTTCTTCTGTTCCCAAAGTCTCTGAAATGTCTGCATCTTCTGACAGTCTCCTGTTGGTGACTGCAGGTCACTGTCACACAGCATCTGCCTAGACCCCCCTTTTCCCGAGTGCAACAAGTTCGCACAATGGATTTTCTGGTCATCCCCTCACACACATTTACAGGCTCCTGCAAATGAGTCAGTGATATGCTTTAATTGGGGCCAGTCAGTGGGAGAGAGCACATGTCCAGCCTGAGAGCAGGTGTGGAACACAGTGACCCATTGCAAACAGAACCTCTCGCGGGAGCGACAATCCCAGAGTTTCTCTAGCTCACTGAGAAGAAAACCACGTGCTCTCATCTGTTTGTTTCCTCTCCAAGAACAACATAAAACTTTTGAAGCAGATTCAAAAAATAAATATCTGGGTTCCAGAGAAAGTTATGTGGTAGAAAGGGCATTTGTACAGATGTGAGTTCCTTCATGAGACGGAATGGTTTCCTTTCTCACATGGGTGCCAGTATTTATTTTAGTGGGTCTTTTTACCACATACACACCATGGCTGGAGATGAGTAAAACTCTAATTGTAAACAATTTCAACTCTTAGTGCATAATTGACTCAATAAATGTTTATTGAATGCTTGTTATGTGTATAGTATGTGGAGTTTACGAAGATGGTTAGGGCATGAATAATTTTCGTTAGGAGTTTACAGTCTGGTGGGGCCAGCATGTAAATAGTAATACTGTGATAGGACAAGTAGTTGTACCACAGTGGAACAGCCTCCCTGTGCAATGACAGCGTGGAGGAGGACAGGGGCTCCCCGTGTAACCGCAGGTCTCACAGTGGTTGGCTTTGGTTGGTGAAGACAGAAAGGGACGTGCACCCTAAAGCACTCTGCATGGCATGTACTCGGAGTGTCCTGAGTGAAAGGATAAACTGTCACCTTTCAGATGCCATTGGGAGCAGACGGGAACTATTACCTGGCTGGGGGCTTTCCACTGTATCAGTAAGGTATAATATGGGACTCAGGTCTCTCGGGTCTCTCGCATGCGAAGGTGAGCTCATCTTCCTTTACTTCAAGGCTTGTAGTCTTAGTAACTTTCAGTGTGGTGGATTTAGTTGTTTGGACTCTAGCTGTTAAAACAGGGGTATTTTCTGAAAACAGAATTTCAGCTTCCAATGCAAATGGGAACAAATGGACAGGTACAGTCTTAGACTGCTGGTGTCTCTGAGTGAGTGCATCTTCTGCTTCTCACACGGCAGCCCCAGATATCCAGAGGACTGGGGGCCCTCGTCCTGTCCCTTTGCTCTTTCCTTTTCTTCTCAGTCTCAGTGTTAGAGAAACTCACGATTTGGTTGTGCTAGGAATGTCACAGCCTTTTATTGGCAACGTCTGTCCCATCTTGCTTCCAATCCCTGGCTGCCACAACTTCTCAAGTCCATCTCCCTGCTGAGTTTCACAAGTTGGGATCTGGTGGATCTCTGCCTTACATTTTCCCTACAACACCAGTTACTAGAAAGCCGCCTGGAGATGCCTTCATAACGCCACACGCTTGTCCTTTCCTTCTGGGCTGAAAGTGCCCACCTGCCCAGTGTGCCTGACATGCTGAATTAAGGCCTTCCTTGAAGGACACATCAGAGGACATCTCTTCATGTCCCCACACCGAGTCTCACCAAGACTTTAGTGATCTTGCGCTTCATGGTGACCAGCTAATAATGTTGAACTGTGTGTTTCAAAATAGCTTGGAGAGTAGATTCCTCGCACTCCCACTGCACAAAAGCTTGATGACTTAATGGATGTGTTGACTCTCTTGACTGAGTCTTCCTAAGATTCCACATAGATCAGAACATCACTCTGTACCTCATAAATGCAAACATTTATCAGTTTAAAAAAGAAATAGCGAAACAGCATTGAGTGGGAAACGAACTCAGCCTGAGAGGCCGTCACTGAATATAACTAACTCCTCCTCAGAATATGTCCGTAGTCTTTTCTGTGTTTCTCTCCCCCAGTATAAAACTGTTGGTTTCCGGTATATGTGCTGTCCTGGATGTGCTCTTATCTGGTATATGTGCCGTCCTGGATGTGCTCTTATCTAACCGTCAGGCTGAGCGCCAACAGGACCTGCACGCCCCTTCCCCCTCACCATGCACGAGTGCACACAAGGGCCGAGCGCACTCTGTGCTGCCTTCGCCGAGGGTTTCCTTGCACCCGCTGTTCAGTGCTCCCCACGCCGCTGCACGCCTCCCCGTCACTGGGACGCTGGGGTGCGAACGCATCACCTGAGGTCACATGCTAAGGGGCGCCCTTTGGAGTCTCTAAATAGAGCAGAGAGGTGTGGGAAGGGTTAGTGTAGAATCTGCTTCTTCCCAACTCAGCCTCTGTGGACCTCATCTACGCAGGTTCGCTGGGCTCCCCGAGTAAAAAGACATCTTTCCAGATCCATCGAGTTAAGATTCGGGGTCAGTTGTCCAGTCCTGGCAGCTCCTCTCTGGTGACCAGAGGAGCCTTCCACTGGTTTCCCCGCTGGACACTGTCTCTCTAGTGCTGCCCAGGGCTCCCTGGGCTTCCTCATGTCAGGGCTCCGCCCAGGCTGAAACCCTGCATGAGTGGAGTCCAGGCTGCACCCCATGGTTCCGCCTTCGAGGCCTGGCCCTTGCTGCCATATCCACCCTCCTGTGCCTCACCACCACACCTGGGTGGTGTGGGCTTCCTGCCCACCCAGAGCCCAGCATGGCCAGTCCTTGCTCCCGAAGGCAACACACAGTGTCACTCTCGGCATTGTTCAGTGCTGCCTCCTCTTCCAGGGCCGCATCTCGCCCTTCCCCCCGCTTCTCACGGTCATCTCTCTACGCTGTTTCTGAGACTGACTTCAGAGTCTGTGGATAAGCAAGACGGTGCCGTCTCTATGCTGGGCATCCGGTTCTGTCCATGTCATAATAGATGACAGCATTTTCTTCCTTTAAAGGCTGCATAGTCTGCCTCTGTGAACACACACATTTTCTCTGTCCGTTCAGATCTCCCGGGTACTGAGGCTGCTCCCTCCCCTTAGTGGTTGTGAATGATGCCGAGCTGAGTGTGAGAATGCGGTGTCTCTTGGCTCTGCTCCAGTGTTGCTGGGGACCTAATATGAGACTTCATCAAAAACCTGAAATGTGATGCAGCTTCCCAATTCCGTGATTTTTGCTTTTCCTATTTTTCAACTTTATACAGTTGTGCATTCTTTTTGCCTTGGTTTTACAAAGAAACCAACTACAGGGTATGAGGCTTCGACTGCAGCCTTCACACTCACTGTTAAGAACACAGGCACTGCATCCAGCTCTCCAGGAGTCACCTGAGGACCTGAGGAGTCACCTGCACAGGCTGCGGAGCCTGGAGTCCGCTCCCTTAGAGCTCAGAGCTGCAGGGCCACAGAGTCACCTCTTTCCTAGGTGGAAGAAGAGAGGCCAGTGCAGGCCCCGAGTCTCGCCAGAGGGGTCGTGGCAGGGCTCTGTGCTCCCCAGAGGGCAGCTTCCTCGGTCTGACTCGGCTGTGTGTGGAGTCTCTCCTGTGGCCAGTGAGTGGGGCCCAGCAGGCTCGCCAGCATCTACTGGGTGTGTGAGCTGTGGACCTGAGGGCCTCTGTGGAAGGGATGGATCTAAAACCCCGGGCCGGACCTAGAAGATGGTGATTTTGAAGGGGACTCTGGCTGGTGACCTGCTCCCTAACTCTTCCCCAAGGAATCCCCGCCAGTCGGACCAGGGACAGCCTCCTTGTGAACCAGTGCTGAGAGAGAGCACAGCACACGAAGAACCCTGCTCCCCTCACCACCAGTAACTGTCAGCCTGCCTCACAGAGCTGAAAGTGCGAGCTCTGCCTTAGAAGGTCAGAGTGCAGGCGTCTGTCCTTCTGCTCACTGGCAATTCAAGGAAACCAGAAAAGCCTGTTCAGGATTTAACAGTATGATTTGCTCAGGCTCCAGACCTCCTGCAGAACATTTGGCCCAGGTAGCCTGGCCACCTGAGCAGATCTGGGGCGTCCCCTGCACAGGTTCTATGTGGTGTGTGACACGCCTGCTCGGGTTGGTGCTTTAGACCAGCCCTCCACATCCAGAGCCATGTGATTTCTACCTGCAAAACCCCACAGGGGCTGAAGGGTCAGGGCCACACAGGGCCCTTCTCTGGATGGGGTCACCTTCATCCCGACACTACTCTGGCAGCAGGTACTGGTGAAGCGGCACCTGCACTGATGCTGTCAAGGTGTTTCCTTTGGAAATTAGTGCCTGTGATAATCAGGCAAAGCCGGTCTTTTTGTGAGTCCTGTGTTATCAGAGAGCTATAAGCTGTATGTACAGTGAAAGAAATGCCACCGAGTCTTACCCATTCTTAATTTGGAGTCTGTCTCTCCTGCCTGCTCCTTCCTCTTTACTTCCCTCTTTCTTCTGTATGTTTTCTCCTGGCTTTCAGTTCAGAGAGGGATTTGGTTAAAGGACCGAGTTCAAGGAGCAGAGAAAGTGATGAAACCTTTCAGACCGCCCTGCAGCCGCCCACGTTGCACGCCTGGCTGACCTCTGTTCCTGCCTGTCTCCTCGTCCACTGCAGGTTGTATCTGAAAGGCCACACAGGGACTGCGGGGAGGCAGAGCAGCCTGGTCCTGCACGGCGCTGACTTCAGCACGAAGGACGCAGACCACGACAACTGCATGTGCAAATGCGCACTCATGCTGACGGGAGGTGAGTCTTGGCACGGGTTCTCCCCTGCTGGTGGGGACGGAGGGCCAGGGCTGGATGCCTCGCGCTGCCCCGGCCCCCTGTGCTCTGTTCGAGGTGTCCCTCCCTCCGCAGGAGGAGGAGTGTGCTGAGCCCCGCTCTGATGAACCTTATGCTCCACACCCCAGTCTTTTCTCTTCCTAACTAATGTCACCACGCCCGAGTGGAAAGAGGGGAGCCCAGTGGCGAGGCACGCAGCCATCAGCTCTTACACGATCTTTGCAGTGGGCAGTGAAGGTCCCTGGTGCCGCTGGAAGGTGAACGTGAGAAGGCGATGTGGTTAGACCCAGAGTTACCCAGCTCAGATGGGGGACAGCATCTTAACCCCCTTCACCCTTCCTGCCTTCCTTCCCGCCTATATTTTTTGCAATACTAGGGATAAAACCCAAGGGCGCGGTACCGCTGAGCTGTTCCCCAGCCCTTTTATTTAATTTTAGTTGTTTATTTGGGGGCAGGGTCTCCCTAAATTGCCAGTGCGTGACTTGAAATTGCAGTCATCCTGCCTCAGCCTCCATAAACTTTGGAGGGACAGCTTTGGGGCCGGCTCCTGCCCCTGCACCTCTCTGTGACTGCCTGGCCTGGGTAGGTGTGTTTCCCACCTGAGACCAGCCCCAGAATCATGAAGCTCGGGGCTGCTGACCTTGCCACTGTCGGATTCTTCTGGCGAGCCTTGAACGTGGCATTTGCCGTCACCTCCGACCTCAGGGAACCGTTAAACCCTCCTCCAAGTGCAGTTCTGTACTCTTCCCTCCCCCACAGGCAAGCAGGGCCTCCGGTCCAGTTGCTAACAGTTTGGTCCCCACAGGTTCTTGATAGTCTTGCTTCTTTCCATTACCGCCTTGATCCCAGAAATGAAACTGGGTAGCTTCATATAAAAATGAAAAGCATGACTATTCCAGGTTCCTGCCCGTCTTGGTGACACTGAGATATGTCCTCTTTCACTCGTGTCTGGTTTTCCCTGCTTCCTCCCACCACGTGGGTGCAGCAGTGGTCAGGTCCCCAGGGCCGGCTCTCCTGGGCCTGGTGGATGCACGATGTCCCACTCCTGTGGTGGGGAGCAGGGACCCAGGCAGAGGCTGCACCCCTTGGGTGTGAAGCCAGCCTCATGCTGGGCTCGGGGGGTTATTTCAGCCTCACGTGCCTGGACTCTGTCACATTCTCATCCAGGATCACTCCCGGGCACGTTCCTTAGTCCCTGCAAACACATAGGTTAGGAAAAGAAAGCTTCACTGACTGCTTGGGCTGTGCCAGCCCAAGTTCTGTGTCTCCGTGATGAGCGCCGTGACTCTATCAGGTGTCCCTCTGAAAGAAGCCAGGTCTCCTGCAGCCGTTCACTCTGTGAAAAGCTGAGCACTGGTGAGTGTTGGTGACGTCCGGGGCCCTGGGCTGTGCCAGGGACCTGGGTCCTGCTCAGCCGCCCCAGCTTCAGGCCCTGCTGGATTCCCTCAGAATCACCACTGTCGGGCGAGTGTCCCCTTCCTCCAAACACTGAGCCTCAGGGTGTGGGGTGAAGTCCTTACCAGGGAGCCTCGTAAGCCACAGTGCTCCGTCGCCATCAGCTGAGGTCTCATTTTATCGTTTACTTCTGTGTTTCTCCCTCACTTCTTACACCAGGAACTGAGGGGAGAGTTGATTCATTCCGCAGTCCTTCTCCCAGTGCACGGAGGGCTCTGGGTGGAGGTGCAGTGTTGCTACCCTCCTCGGTAGACACTGGAGAACAGGAGATGAATGATATTACCCAATTATTAAGTCATCATAGGAAGAATCATGTGTGAACCTCTGCTAGGAGATGTAATTATGAGACGTCCTAAAACAGCAAGCAGAAGAGCCCATAGCAACCCTCCCTGCTTCAGTTTGCTCTCAGTGCAGTTTCCATGTTTAGGACAAAATACAAAAGCTCCGTAACTGTGACCCCGCCTTCCACAGAGAGAGCCTGTCTCGTGGGAACTCGTTTCTTTTCCCACACATGAACCTGTCAGCTGCCAAGGCAGGACTCTGAAGTCAGGCAGGCTGGCTGCAGCCTGAGGATGGGACCAAGCTGGCACATCGTCTGTGCCCTGGGACTGCCAGGCCGAAGCCGACGGCTGAGAGCGGCTTGCTCTGCCTGCTCCGCCCGCTCTGTGATTCTGCGAAGACAGGAAAGGAAGGCGACTGCACGCGCTTAGTTTAGAACACGGAGCTGTGGACGCACATCACACGGACGAACGAGGAGCTCAAGGGCGAATGGCAAGAACTGGGGCCAACTTTGGGCTCATGAGACTCCCCGCACTCAGAGGCGCATGGTAAAGTTTGTTAGGCTCCTGGATTTCAAATAAATTGGAGTTTATAAGCACAGAATTTAGGGTTATATTATTTTCTCAAAGCACGGTTTATTTATTTATTAGCAAGATAGAAGAAAATATTCCAGAATGTGTTCCGTAAATTTGGAAGGCGGTGACTTGGAAGTAACCTGCTTACAGCACAGAGCTGCACCCAAAGGCTCGCAACTGGCAGTGGGCAAGAAACACCCAAATGGGTCATTTTGTTTTGTTCTCTCATAACTATAAACCAATATTTATTGAGCTTTTTGGTCTGACAGACTTTTCTGCATTATCGTGAGTGATTTATGTTTAACAACTTACGTGAAGTTTCCAAAAGATTTTTAACGAGGGGAAAGAGGAATGCAATGATTTCTTTTTCATGAAGTACAGAACAGGATACTTGTTCACGGAATCGGTGACGGAAGGAGGATTTGGACTCAGGTGCTACCCTGGGGAAGCTCTGCTCCTCCCCACGCCTGCAGCCCCCCGTCCACCAGCGGCCCCTTCCCCAGATGGCACTCAGAGGGAACCGAAGTTCCTTTAGGTGGATTCAGTATCCCTGGCCAGGAAAAACAAATGCTCATCTTTGAGTAGAGAAAAGAAAAAGGAAAAACCGTAAGACCTGGCTTGACACATGTGTAGCACCAGATGGACGGAGGACCACAGAACTCTGGACGGCATCTCTGCCCCGGGTACAAAGACCTGCTGTGGAATTTATTTACACTTCAGGCTTCTCACATAAGAGAACCATGCAATATGTAAGCTTATGTGTCTGATTTTTTTCCCATTTAATGATGATTTTGCAGTGCATCCACATTTCTGCAAATGACTCAGGTTTCTCTGTCTTCATTGGAGACTGTACTGTATCTAATTACATTTTCTTGAGCCTTCACCCACCCGTGGACACTGGGCCACTTTCAAAATTTAGTCGTGATGAGTTCTGCACCTGGACATGGGACCAAAAGGTGGTGGACGGAGAGAGAGGGGGATGGGTCCCAAAGAGAATGAAGATGCATGGTGTCCTCTCGCCGGCCCCTCCAGGAAAGCAGTCCTTCTGGGCCGCAACCATGCTAATAAAAATAAAATCCAAAATGATCCCGAAGCTGCTCCAAGTGGAGGGGCACCCAGGGCACCTCTGGACATGTGCGCTGGGAGGGTGACCTTTGTCCCTGTGGTCTCTGAGGTCACAGTGCCACCGTCCAACCCAGCCTCGTCTGCAGTTAGGGATGAAAGGGGAAAGTCTTGGATTCTGTGCGAGCTCTTTTTTATATTTCTGGTTAGAATGCATCACTGAAAATGCATAAAAGAAATCCACCCCAAAATATTTCTTTTTCCTTTGCTGTACTTTTTACCTTAGCAAAGAAGTGTTGAGAGATATTTTGTTTAGGATCAGAGAACTTTTTGAGAGTTAGGTTTCCTGATTTTCAAATAAATTTGAACTTCCTGAGCCACAGGCTTTAGAATCAGATTCTTATTTTCTGGGCAGAGTTTAACTTATTAGTGATAAAATGTGAATTTTCTGCTTCAAAGATAAAAGACTCAAATAATTTAAAGGCCTGGGAAGCCTGGGATAGTTATTACAAAACTAAATTTTAATGAGTTAAATGTAAATGAATTAGAAACACGCAGCTCAGATTTCTTACCAAAACATACAGGAGGTTACAGGTTACGAGGAAGAATGCCTGGCGACGTCTGCTGCTGCGGCTGCCAACCACACAGCGCCGGAGACACTTCACCAGCCGCCTTCCCCCGACCGCCGTGCTCCCAAGTCTATTTCCCCCATCTGCTTTTCCACAGTTCTCATTCAGCACCCCAGGCACAGCAGAAGACCTGCAAAGCTGATGCCCCCAGGGTCCAGCATGTGCGACTCGGCGTCAGAGCATGTCCGGAGCCTGCGGCGTGAGCAGGGTCTCCTCTGGCCAGGACCCCTGACTCCGGGACGTGGCGGCTGGGTCCACCCCACTGGGCCTGCCCAGAGGAAGGGGTTCAAGGGGTTCATATCATGCCGCACCAGGGCTTAGGCTTAAAAGCCCAGTTTTTGCTCAGCTCTTTTCACAGAAAGTAGGGAAACTATTTGAAATGTTTGATACAAAGAAATTCCTTTGTTTAGTTTGTCTCAGAGCAAATCTCAGTAAAGACAGAGCACTCAGCAGTACAGAAATAACTGTCTGTGCTACTGTGAGGGTTAGCATATAATAGCACTGAGGTTGTGTGAAAATGTTGCCTTTTTATTTTGTTTTCTACCATCTTAATTCCTCTTTATCGTCTTTAATTCATCTGATCACAGTGTGCACGGCCCAATGGTTTTACAACAAAAGACAACAGTGCATTTTGCTTCCTCATATAATCAAAATAGTAAACTAAAGAAAACACAGTAGGTTCTTAAAGGCAGTGTTTTTACAGTGTGAGCATTGTAAGCCATTCCCATCTGCATTACAGTTGCTTCCATATTTCTCTGATAGCTCTGTCTTGGCCCCAGGAACCTTGTCTTCCCTAAGTCTGTCTGTTTTACTCAGCTCTGTGCCCTAAGTCTCTCCATGGAGTGCGGGTGCTGTGCTGATTGCTGGCTTGGCTTTCTCCCCTTGGTTGCGGGCCTCGTGCCCAGGATGGCTGTGGCAGATGGCGAGGGCCCGGTGATGACTGCCCACACACAGCCCGGCAGGCCTGGTTGCCCTGGCTCAGTATCACTTCCCATCCCCGAGAAGGGCGTACCTGTGCCCTTGATGGCCATGGAGGACCGCAAGGCCGTGCTCCTCCACAGCTTTCCTTCCAGACTGTTTCTCCGCCTCTCTGTCAGAAAGCCGCCTCCTCTCTCCTCCTCTGTCCTCTCCTCTCGCCTCCTTCCTGGCTGAGCACAGCCGCTGCATCTCCCCTGGCTCCCCCACCCTCAGGTCACCATGAACATCCACCTGTTCCATCTGTGCAGAAGCTCGTGTGACCCCCCCCCCCCCCCCCGCCGAGCTCCCTGTTTTCTTCCTAGTGTCCTTTGGTCATGATTTGTAGTTACTTTGTTTACTCCCATACATTTCCCACCTGATGCTCACATTGAAAATCATTTCCATGGCAGTAGGGAATCCATGTGTCATTCTGGGCAGTGTGTAACAACCTTTGAAGCAGTACACAAGGGAAAATGAACAGTAGGCACCGATGTTGTAAATCGGGGTGCCTGTTAAACATAACTTTTGCTAAGCTAAACGGCTTCACAGGAGCAGGTCTATCTGAGCAGACCCTGACGAGAGCCTGTGGTAACCTGCCAGCAGCCAGCCAAGCGAGTCAGTCAGGTTAGAACTCGGTCTGCAAGAGGAGCCCGGCAGAACCGCATCTTACAATGGACTTAGGGCAATAAACAGAAGGCTGGGCTGGGTGGTGTTTGCATGCACTCAGCTTGGTGATTGTCAGTCTTGCTGGCCGTGACCTAGACCTAGTGACTTTCTATCAGGGTCTCTGGAAGGCTGTCCACACTGCAGAGAGGCCTTCCCTGGGCTCTGCTGTTTCCTGTCGCTTTCCCAAGCCCACTCCCACGTCCCACCCCCAGCCTCTGTCTCGGGGCTGCTCTGTGTGTTTTCATTTTCATCCTGAGTACCTGGGTCAGCTCTGAGACTCAGGCTCCCGCTGGCCTCTTTGTGAGTCTGGTGGATGGAGGGTGTCCCCTTGTGAGATCACAGCGAGGCTAGCGCCTGTGAGACATGCCTTCCTGCACCCAGGGTGCCCTGGGGAACAGAGACAGGAAGGAGGCTGACCCCTTCCTGACCAGTCCAGTTCAGTTTCACTGCAGAGTTCCATGCTAGACCTTCAGGGCGGGTCTTCCCCAGCATCATGTTGCCTGTGGCAACATAAACAGCACATGTTTTCTGGGAGTACGGATTGGGAGTCAAGGGCTTATTCTCAAGGACAGAAAGATGGATTTTACAGTTCCTCCTTCCTTGCCAGTGAGAGTCTCCTGTCCCTCCTGCTTGGGCTGCAGCAGCATCCACACTGCATCAGCACCCCGGGCACAGGGGAACCCTGGGGCTGTGCAGCCGCCGACCTGCAGAAACGACACACCAGAACGCGGCTTGGGCCTCTGGTGCTACTGCAGACAGGATGCAGCTGCATTCCTCCTCAGGCTTGAACGCTGAGCACGATAGTTTTCCTCAGGTCACTTTTTCTAAAGTCTGCGAGATAATGCTCATGTTACAGTCAAGCATCAGCCACAGCTCTGTGTATTAGTCCCTGCGGTTCAGCTCTGCAATCAAAGAGAGGTCAGCTGTATCGAAATACAGATACTCCAAACGTCTCTGGCAGAAATCTCTCCCTAAAGATTTCAGTGGTGTTACTTCAGGAGAGGGAAGAAAGTAGTGTGCTTTATCTAAAAATCTAAGACCTTAATTTGTTGAGAGAGAGAGAGAGACAGAGAGAAAAGAAAAGAAACCTGGGCAATCCCATTCTCCTTATGGAGCTGTGCAAGCACAGAGTCCCGTGTTCCTGCTCATCTTGCTTTTCTTTTCACTAAGCTTAGAAGGATCCTGACGACAGAATATTGTCTGTGTCCTCCGTGGCTGCCAGGGTGGCCACTTCCCACCTTGCTATCAGCTTTAGACTGCGGAGATTAATTAAAATTCACTTGAGGGTCACAGTCGTCACACATCCTCCAATTGACTTAGAAGCAGCTGGGGGCCAGTTCTGGGCAGAGTCTCCCAGCGAATGGAGAAGCCTCTCTAGATGTCGGCTGCCTAAGCTCCTGGGCTCCGCTGACAGCTGTTCTGCTCTCTGTCGTGGGCTAAGGTGGAAGGCCACTCATGGGAATCTGCCTTTTCCTCCTTCTCATTTAACCCAGCCCGCTCAGATTGCATCTTCAAGCCAGAGGCTTCCCACAGTCACTTTGGGAAGCGGGTCCCAGGAGAGCCACACCGAGAGCTGCCTCTGAGCAATCTGTCTCTTTCATTGCTCTCCTCAGGCCACACCACTGTCACTTGCAGGGTCTGGCCAGTGGGAAAATGCTCGCTGAATAGCTCCAGTTTGCAAATAGTCATAATAAGGCTGAACATGTCCCCGTCAGCTAATGCCAGTAATTCCCAGATGTCCAGTGGACTCGTAAATGTTTCTCTTCTGTCTCATTTCTAACTACTTTTTAGGCTGGTGGTTTGACGCCTGTGGCCCCTCCAATCTAAACGGGATGTTCTACACCGCGGGGCAGAACCACGGGAAGCTGAACGGCATCAAGTGGCACTACTTCAAGGGGCCCAGCTACTCCTTACGGTCCACCACCATGATGATCCGGCCTTCGGACTTCTGAACGCACCGTGCTGGAAGCAGCCTCCGAAGCAGCCAGTCTGGAGCAGCTGCCAGCTGAGAGACTGTGAAAGCTTCGGGACCAGCAACACCGACTCCTTTCCAGCAGCAGGAGGCAGTCATGGATGCCCTGGGGCCTCTGGGTTGCGAGGTCTCTCCTCAGTCACCCTGTGTCACCCCATGCCACTGGCTGCTGTGGCCTCAGAGGGGGAGAGGCTGCGCCTCACACTGCTAGCGGATCGCACTGCAGAGCTATCAGAGCAGTAACAAGCCGGCTTATTTCTCAGAAAACCAGGAGCAAAGAAGGATACACGTGGAGCCTGGAACCGGCCTCCGTAAGCCTTTGGGAAGGATGTGTTACATCAGCAAAACGGTTTTATCTCTACCCAGACCTGCTAACAGATAAGTTTATACTATTGTACAATTTTGATAAAAGTTCAAAAAGAATAACATCGCCTTCTGTGTTGTTAAATGTTGGTGGATTTCAGAAGCCAAGTTCCAGCGCCGTATTTCTGAGATGATTCCAGTTAACCCATCTTCACATGTAAATTCCGTTTCGTAAGCCATAATAAATTGTAGTGTGTGGAGGAGAGCAGTGTACGTGGAGACGCCCACTATGTGACTTCAGAGGCAGATTTCAGAAAGAGATGGACAGGACCACGTGCCGACAGAACACGTGAAAATTAAATCCTCTCCATGCTGCAGTTTCCATTTACTTAAAAACTGACTGACTGATATGCAGATATATTTATAGCCTGAATAACGTTTAAAGAATGTGAAATATATCAAGTTCTTAAAATACGACACACACGTTTGATATTTCCTTTGCTACCATATAGACAGCAGGACGTGGAGTCTGTGGAGCCGAAGGGACGCTAAGGGACTCGGCGCGGGGATTTCACAGGGTCCCTCCTGCGTGTGGGGCGGGTGTGCCGCTTCGTTACCGTGAGTGAGTTTCACACCGTCAGTGCTTTGGCTTGTTAGCTCATGAGATTTTTTTTCTCTTTTTTTGCTAATTAACTGATTGAACATGTTTATGAGGTTCACCTTCCTCCAGTTTCTGTAAGAGATACATACAGAAGCCTGCAAAACACAGCGCACCACACAGTGTGTGGTAGTGTGTCCCCAGCACGTGACGTCCACACTCCCAGAATCGCTGCCTGACCTGCAGCGCACCCCGTGGCCCCGAGTGATACCCACATCCACATGTTCAAAGAAGCTCCTACAGCACGTGATTAAATGCGTCCCTCTCCCCGTTTTCTTCCTTCAGGCTGTTCCTTTAGGTTTTATTTTTTACATTAATATCAATAGAGAAAATTGGCATAACTCTCAATATTATAAGTAAAAAGTAGTCACAAAAACCACAAGCAGTTAACTAGGGAAATTCTGACTCCAGCTGTGATAACTCTTTTCATGAAAATATTGGTCCAGAGTTACAGCTCAGGGCCTGCCTGGCAAACACAAGGTTGTGAGTTCGCTTCCCAACACCCAAAAGATAAAAAATAAAAACAATAATGAAAATCTCCCATGGGATGATCTACTGTAAGTGGATTTGGGGGCCCGCTTTCATGGTGACTTTAGTTACTACAGCACTCTGTGAAGGAGGGCTCTCCGCATGTCCGTGTTCAGCACTATGACAGTGAACGATTTAAAATCAAAATGTAGGTTATTGCTAAAAGGAAATGGAAGCAAATATCAGGTCTCCTTTCTTAGAAAAGGGAAGGGTTTTTTCAAGGTAATGATACCAAAACTTCAGGCTTCACGATTTCATTATTCTAAGGGGCTTTCTGCTATTTGGGAGAATCAAGCTCTTTGCATTTTGAAGAAAAAAGTTTTAAAGCTTACCACTGAGTATTTTTATATTTATGTGTTGTGTATACAATCTCTCTTTGTGCCTTAGAAGTGTTACAGTTTTCTGCCTTAGAGTTTGCAGGGGTTACAGTTTTCTATGTTTAGTGGCTCTCTGACAACACCATTAAAGGTCTTTCCCAAAGACTTTTAACCCTTCTTTGCTTTAAGTAAAAGAAAAGTGGGTATTTTGTTATTTTGTGTCACAGGTTTTCCTTTTTCCTTCCTCTCATCTTACTTCCTTTCTTCCTTCATTGTTCCTTATTACTATCTTAAACTGTCTTTTAAGTGAATATACAAAACCACTCAAAAAGCAGGAAAAATTTCATTAAAGGTATTACATTGTCACGCCTTTTTCTTTCTGCTTTCAATCTTACATTTTGAAGTTTGCTATTTAATGTTATACAAAGAAAACAAAAATTTAAATTGTTACAATAAATACTACAGTTCGTTTTTATTTCGTGCAATAACAATTTTAAATACAAACAATAAAATCTCTTTCTTTTCTTCCTTTGGATAAGAAATATTACTTCCCAACCCACAGTACAAAAATAAAATGAAGTAATAGGAAAAGAAGAAAACATTATACCCTCAGTTTTGTTGTCTGGGTGTGAAAAGTGAGTAGTTTTCATTATTTATAGTGCAGCAGAGTGAAATGTGCCTGGCCCCCTTCCCTGTGTTGTACAGAGCCCACGTGTGTGGTCATTTAACATCCTGATCCTTTGCATTTAATTTTCAGGATAATATAACTAGGTACTAGAATCTTGCCTTTACATTTTTACTTCAGTAAAATTAATGTGGTTTCTATGTGGATTTTTTCATATCACAACATTATTTCATTTAAATAAAATTCAAAATAACGTTTGTGCAATTTCATCTCATTTAAAATATACATTTTGCCAGGGATTTAGCTCAGCGGCGTAAGCACCTGCCTTGCAAGTGCGCAGTCGTGAGGTCGATCCCCCGTACCAAAATATATATGTATATTTTACAAAATTTAAATTTGAGATCTTGAAATGATGGAATCACTGAAAAAGAGCAAAAGGCCAAGAAAACTAAACTCTTAGTCTCTGAAAACCTCTCAGTTTAGGATGAAAGGAGAAAGCTTGTTAGAATCTGGGACCCCAAAAGGGCTACCCCAAAAGTGCTTCACCATGCCCAGAGTCCTGGGGTTCTGGCCTGTGACTGCTGACTGCGCCCGGGACCCTGGGAGGCGGGGTCAGAGGTGGCGATGTCTGAGGCCCATCCACTCCCGGCCCGCGGAGCAAGAGCCTGGTGCCCAGGGACTGAGGCAGGGACTGCGTCCCGACAGCCCGCACCCACCCCACAGCTCATCTCAGGGACCCCTGGAGCCCCTGCCTGAGTGTTGCTCTCCTGCTCCTCCCCCTGCTCCTGGATAGGCAGATCCCCCACCTCCTGCCTCCTCCGATCCTCTTTGCCCCATCACCCCGCTAGCTCTGGCTTCCTAAGACCAGACTTGTGCTGCACGCAGGCCCTCGTGTTCCCACGCAGCTGCACAGAGGCTGGCGACCTCGGCTGCACCCACCCTGTGGGATGGGCCTCAGGCGGGCCCTCGCCCCCTTCCCCGGGCCCTTACAGCGGGAGCAGGGAGAGGCTGGCTTGGAGTTTGTGGTCGCCAGAGGACACAACTGGAGTGACCCTGTGCCCGTTCTGAGCCCGGATCTCAGATCCGTCAGCACACCCAGCCTTTGCCGTGGGAGGAAGCCCCAGGAGGCCTAATGGACATGTGGAGACCCAGGCAGGGCCAGTGCCCGGTGGACACCACCTGACCTGTGGGTCTCTTCAGCTGCTGGGAGGAACTGGCTCACAGCCGGAACAAGCCGAGGTTGTGTGAAGCCTCCACATCTGAAGAGTTGGGGGGAAATCTTCATGGTACAGACAGCTGCTTGACACAGAATACTGCAGTCCCCGGGACACCCCGAGCCCACTGCACCCCGAGGCTTTATGCATCTCAAGCCTGTTTGATTTCTGTTTTTATTAGTGCACATTTGCAGGACATAATGACGCCGTCCTTTGTAGCGAGTCAGCGCGGGGATGTCACACAGCTTTGTTCTTTTTCTGTCCCTTCCCTCCCTGGCTCCCGCTTCTCTCAGCCCCCTTCCCATTTGTAGATCTGTCTCTCTGCTGGCTTCCTTTCGCTGTGCGCCTTGTCGATCCTTTGGGTTTCTCCTATAACAGAGACTACGTGGTATCGAAGCTGGTGGGTCTCATTTCACTTAGAGGCCACGATGCATGCATCTTCCTACCCGAGCCGCGGCTCTGTCTTTGGCACTGCGTGTGCTGCAGTGGTGCCTCGGGTCATGAGTTTAATTCTTCCCATGATTCTGCTCCCAGAATCCCTTCCGTGATTCCAGTCACAACAGAATTGCAAGCACAAACGTATGAAGAGCATGATCCCAGCTGACACTGTGCCACATTTTCTTTATCCTCAGCTATTGGTGGACACATAGGCCACATCCGAGATTCGGCTCCACTGAGCCGTGCTGCTGTTGAAAAGCACTGTCTGGGCCATGGTTCTCTTTTGCTGTTGCGAGGTTGTGCTCCGGCCTCCCCCCAGGTGCGCCCACTGGGCTTCAGCCACATGGACCCTCTCGGGCTCTGCTCCCTCCGTGCACACTCGGCCCAGAGTGCTTCGCTTGCATGTGGTTTGTAGCCTGCTGTGTCGGCAGAGGCTGTTTCTCATTCATTTTTATTCCCTGAACTTTCAGGAGAGCTTTGTTGTCTGTTGAATTGCTCTGAAGCAAAAAAAAAAAAACCTTCTGTCTGTACAAAATTCAGCACTCACATTTTTGACCACTGGCTGGTCACTTATTTTCAAACATTAAACTTAGCGATTCTCCTCTGGAGAAATGCCTAAATGTGTAATTTCACTGTCTCAGAAATCCCCTTATCACAGCCCTCCTGGAGTGCGTTTACCTTGAGGAAACCTGTAGGCCTCTTTTAACTATGCCAGACCATTTGGCAGTGCTTAGTAGCAGAGCCATGTGAGGAATGTGCCAGCAGACAGTTGTCATTGTGAGACATGGCAGTGCACTTCACACACGCTGAGATCCTGTGGTGGCTGTGACGTCACTGCACGGGGTGATCTCATGGGACACCATCCTCCACTGGTCTAGTGCAAGAGCAAATATGAAATACATGTTCGGATGGCAATTACTCGTTTTTCTTTGCATGCTTAGTATTATGTTAATGTAGGATTAAGGACATATAGCAAGCACACATTTAGGCATCTTTGGGATTTAAAGTTCCACTGTGGCCTTTTTTCTAGTTGATTTGGCCTCTTTCATAAAAGTAGCTCCTTCTAACGCAAGATCAGCGTTCTGTGCTGCATTCCTGTGCTCATTACCCTGCCCAGCGCCTGCTCTCTGTGTATCAGCCATGAGCTATGAGAGAGAGCATGGGGAGGGGATTCCTGGGAAGAACTGATGCTGACCAGTGTGGTTTCTCAAAGAGAGCGTAGAGCAAAGTGGGCGCTAGTGAGAAACCTGAGGGACTGGGAGACCTCCAAGGAGCAGGCAAGCAAAGCAGATTGCCAAAGGAGACCAGAAAGGACCCGGGAGACAAGCAGAAAGCCAGAAGGAAGGGGACCCAGAGCTGCACAAGTCCATCGGCCAAGAGCCAGGGCATCTGATTCCACGCAGCCCAGGGCTGTCGCAGGTGCCAGCATCCCCTGGAGTTGCCACACAGGAGCCACAGAGGTTCTGAGAACAGTGCTGGAGCTCAAGGCTGAGAATCCAGATGACCCGAGGGTCAGGAAGGAAGGACGGGAGGAGAAGTGCGCTCAGAACTTTGACGTTAAGAATGACCTCAGGATAGCAGAAGCTTGGGTTCCGGCCCCGACCATGAATTCATTTTAATGGGTCCCTCCAATGGCCTACAAGCTCTAAGGTTTGAGAAACTTTGGTTAATATTAGGCTTTCAAGGAGATGGATGAGAATGGAGGGAGGAGAGGAGGGAAGGAGAAAGCCATGACCAAGGGTCCTGATGGTTCTGAGGGTGAGGGGCGCTGGAATGTGTTTTCAGGCTAAGGCAAAGGCACCCTTGGAAAAGAGGAGGCTAGAAGGAGAAGCAGATGCTGACGGGATGGCCTGAGAAACAGGCTCACGGCTGGAGAGCCCAGAGGAGAAGCATCGTGGGGAGAAATGAGGAGGCAGGGAACTTCACAAGCACAGGGGCTGTTAGTTCACTTAAGAAGTACTTGAAGGTAAGTTTGGAGTAGCCAGGTGAGCTGGCGGGGGACTGGCCTCTATGCTGGTGGCTGCTACTGACCAGGTGATGTTTGTGAAAGGGTCGAGTGACGCCAGTTTCTTAAGGTACGACAGCACTGAAGTTTGCTGGATCGCTGGACCCACGGACTGTCCCTTTCACAGGCGATTTCTCTGGGGCGTGAGAGCTGTCAGGCAGCAGCTCACAAGCGGAAGAACTTCATTCAGAGTCCAAGTCTGTGCTCTTAAGCCCTGTCGTTGGCTTTGCGAAGTGTGTGCGGTTCTGTGAATCCCTCCTTGTCAGCAGTGCACACAGGGTCTGTGTCCAGAGGAGACTGTCTCAAGGAACCACTTTCTTTACTTGCTCAGAAGGAAAACCGTGGCTCTTCACCTTGAGCGGGGCCTCGGTGGCTGCTCTGGGCAGAGGTATGAAATCAGTGCCCATCTCATCACACATCTCTGCTGAAGCCTGTGCACTGGCCGGTGTGTGGCAGCGTGCACAAGCAGTTTGAAAGGAATCTTTCCTTGAGCGTTCAGTTCAGTCTCAGCGGTGAACTTAGCCACCCACTCTGTAAGCAGATGCGCTGTCTCCAGGCATCCTAGTTCCTCTGCAGGGGTGAGCCAGTGCAATCCATTATGCCCCAGTTTTTTCAGAGGGATGGAGGAGCACTGAGTCTGAGTCCCCAGCTGTGCTGGCCCTAACTCGGGGCAGCCTGAGCTCAGAAGCTTCGAGTCAGGGCCACCTCCTTGACCTGATGACAGTCCTAGGTGGCCTCCTCCCCCACTATGAGGCCGGACCTGTCCCTCAGCATGGCCACCTTCACCGAGGGCCTTTGCTGCTCTGCCGGAACTCCCGCAGCCTCCCGTCAGGGCTGGCTGCCCCACGACCACTCTCCCATGCTATGGAGACAGCTTTTCCCTGGAGGGTACGAGCTGGCCTCTGCTAGCTCCCAGCCTTTCCTCTGCAGCTTCCTCACCTCTCGCAGCCTCCACAGGGTGCAAGTGAGTCAGGGCACAGCTCTGGGCCAGGCTGGAGATGAAAGCAAAGTTGTGTCTGGTTTAATCTTCTGTCCAAACCATAATAATTAGCTGTTCTGCTTTCTTATCATCTGTGTATCACTGGACCAGGGCTCTCCATTCCCTTCCAGAACTTTCCTTGGCATTCACAGTGTGGCTCGGTCCAGCATGAGAGCTAGGGCTTTTGACCCATCTCGGCTGCCCACATGCCTTTCCCATAAGCTCAATCATTTCTGGCCACTCAGGGGTCAGTACTGCTCATCTCAGGGAGCACAGAGGTCCACAGGAAGGCAAGCAGCCAGGGCAGCCTGTCTGTCAGAGGGGCAGCCTGTCTGTCAGAGGGGCAGCCTGTTAGAGGTGTGTCTGAGCACACAGAGCATTTGTTCACTTCAGTGTTGTGTGTGTGGGGTTCCTGACACAGCAGGAGGTTACAGTGGGAACATCAGCGACCGCTGGGCATAGATCATCACCATTCCAGATATCTTCACAGTAAACAAGTCTGGAAAGTTGTGGGCAGCATCAGAGATACATCAACAGAACTGCGCTCTGCCATTGGAAGGACAGTGCCCACAGACCCGCTCAGGGCAGGTTCGCCACTAACGCTGTCTGCAAGCCGGTGAAGTGCAGG